TCAAGCTTGATCTCAGTGATTCGCTTGGAGAAGAGGGTAGGGTTGAAAGAGACCCAAAGCCTTGACGGCTTCCTCGACAACGAGGGCGTAGCATTCCTTTGTGGATTGGCAGAACATCGAGTTAAATCTTGTGTCCTTTGTGGTTGTGTGTTCTCGTGTTCTTGAGCTAGTTCTTGTTGTCTTGTGGAGAATTTTCCTGATCTACTTGCTTGAGTAACTTTAAGTGCAGAGAACTAGTGAGGACATCTTCACACATCTACTAGGGGTCTTGCTAAAATGTAGAGATTCAAATTTTGTTGGTCAAATTTGTACTTCTTGTAGCTAATTCGTCGTCTGTCTGACCAGACATCCAATTTCCACCAATATCTGATTGAATGTACTAATTCTACTACGAGTTTTGATTTATTTTTTCAGTTTAGGATTATTCACTCCCTATAGGCCCTATTAATCCTTTCAAGTTGATGGCCCTTATCATGGACCCACCGCATGCTTGGTAGGTCCCCGAATTCAGTGGCGCCCAAAATTTAGATACCCAAGTAATCAACCAAAGCTTTAGACAAGAAGGGTCAAACATGATAAACCTCCATGTTTCTTCAACTACAATGTAGTGTAGGTGGAATCGTAAGGATAGATCGCATGAGAGAAGATGTAGTGGTTTGAAGCTTAGAAGCAACGCACACGAAAAAAGTGTGGATAGCTCAAGGGTGTCCCATTTCTTCTTCTTCTTCTTCTTCTTTTTGCCCCAGGTAGCCATGTTACTTTTGGTTCTAGAACATGTATGTATAGCCTCGGGTTTAATTTCATAATGTAAATTCCATTTCTATATCTGGTGCCTGAAATTTTGCATCTGATTAGGCAACAATTCTCATTAATTGGATTTAAATAAGATGACTTTGGAGCTTCTTCTTTCTTCGTTTGTTTCATTCAGTTGTCAGGTACATTTGGTTTTGCATTTTCAGGCGCAACTATATGAAGCGCGGAAAATTAAAGCTAATGATCACATTCTTAACACAAGTGACATTAATAATTATTTAGTCCAGATTTGCCCCTGATTGGTAATATTATAATGGTAAGTCCTCTAAAAATGCTGTAGTTGTATTATAGCATGCTATTAGAACCATGGTTTTATGTTTTTATATTGCATTCTATCTAACGAGTCACGTATAAAAATAACAGTACGAAACTAAAACCAACTCTTCGCTAAGAATGACCTCGGTAATAGGAGGAGCTGGCTGCACTGAACCAATTCGGCGTCGCGACAGCGAGACACACCGTACCGACACGTCCTTCTCCAGCTACTCACCGCGTGACGGTGATCGATCTCACGGTGACGATGACGCGCACGTAATGCACGCACGACACGGCGCGCGGGCACGGGCGCAGTGCGTGCTCGGTTTGTTCCGTGGGCATTCAATGGCGAATGACGACAGAGACGGAGCGGGCAGTGCATGAATCAATGAAGGAGGAACGCAGCGGAACTGCACGGTCGATCGATTCCTCGTGAACCAGCGCATGCCCGTGGCCACTGTGCCGAGTCCCGACGGAGTTCTGGCACCTCGTTGAGCGAAACATGCGTGGCAGGCGTTGTGGGTTGGCGACTGATGCGCGCACGGATCACGATTGCTCGCGCCGACTCTAGTAGAGGGCAGGCCGGGCCAACGACCGCGCAGTAATGGCCAGGGGCGCGCCACGTTGCGGCCGGGCGTGGTGCACCAGCACCACGGTAAAAATACTTCCCTACGCAGTACTGCAACTTTTCTTCTCTTGTGCACTCTCGATTTCGCCCAAGGAGTGGCGGCGAGAATACTCGATGGGCTGGGTGCCGCGGCAAGGCAGTTGCGTCCGCGGGGTTAAAGCCGCACATAGCCGGTCCATTAACGAGCAATGCACATCCCATCAAGTAAGACTTGAGTCTATTTCTGCAGACCCATTAGTGTTTGTGGCTCGCCGGTGGAGTGCTCTTACTGATCCATGCAGTATACATATGCAAACGTTTGTTCTCATCCAATCTCAATAGCAGCCGACGCGCGCGCGGCCGTACGCGGCAATGACCCTTCTCTGTCTCCTTGCTTTTCTATCTCATTCCTGCTCACGCGCGCCATGGGCACATGGTTGCTGACCGCGTGACGGTGACGGTGACGATGACGCGCGTTGCTTTAGTGCAAATGGTCTTGCGGTTATTGGCAAAATTAGTAAAGTTTTTATTTTGAATTAATTTGACTAAAATTTCGTCAACATTAGGGGCAAAAAATACCAATTTTTGAAGGGGAACCACGGTGACCATTTGCACGATCGATTATTGTGCTTTGACTAAAATTTCATGCCTTTTTTTATTTTGTATGATATTAGGGCGGGTTCTGGCACCTGAACATGAAAACATGCGTGGCAGGCTCGTGGGTTTGTCAAATTATATGAGAAAATTTGTGTTAAAATGGTGCACCAGGTGCACGGAGGTCTATAACTTCGCCCCCGGTAATGGCAGAGACAGAGGAGTAGGACTGGAGAGGAGCGTACGGCCGGCCACCGATCCCATCCCATCGCCTGGGCTCCGGCTCCGCTCGTGCGCGCGGTCCTGCCATGGTCCGCGAACCCAGACGGCCAGACGAAGACACCATGACTGATGACTGACACCACCACCTCTACCAGCCAGCCTCCCTCGTTCTTCCCCTCATCACGGTCAGTCGGTCACTCCACTCCCCTCGCACCTTTTTGTTAGGAATTGAATCGTTCAGTAATCACGGAAGACGGAACTACGGATCATGCGAAGCAAGCAGCTTAGGTGACCTGTGAACGTGACACAGTGTCTGCACAAATGACAATAAAGTCAATAGTCACGCACTCCCGCCGTGCCACGGTGCCAGGCTTCCCAGCGCCTGGCTTGCTGCCCCCTGCCGGTGAAGCACGAATCGGGAGAGCTTCTCCTGGCTTCTGGGGAACCAGACCAGGACCACAGCACAGCCATGGGCCATGGCGGTGCGTGCTTGGATATGAATGCATGGGGATTAGGCCGGCCGGCCGGCCTGCCGGAGACGTCGGAACGAATGACCGGCGCGGGCCACCCTGCCATTGAAGCCATTCCGCTTCGGGAATCTTTCTTTTCAACTGCATGCCGTTGCCGTGTCAAACGTGACAATATTTACGGGGGAGACACGGACGTACAGGCGCGAGGCAGGAGCGCAAAGTAAATGTGGGTGTTGCACGTTTGGGGAGCATGCATGAGCCAAACTGAATGCTCCAGGCCATGCTAATTAAAATTTGGATGGATTGATGGATTAATGTGAATATTACTACCTTTCATTTTTTTTTCGATCTTGCATTGGTCAATGATGATCGAGAGAGAGAGAGAGAGAGAGAGAGAGAGGCAAGTTTAACTGCATGATTCATCAAAGTGAACTGATATGATGGAATCCAGTCTCTCTTCATGGCAGATTTTGTGAACCGAAGCATCGACATGCAGTCGTCAACACAAGCAAGCAGCAACTGCTAACCAGTAACCACCTCATGGTTCCCAAGTAAATACTGGTTCCCAAGTAAATACTCCCGGGAAACATGGCTATATAAGTTTTCAGCTGGGAGCTGCAGCTGCCTAATCAGCACGAGACAAGCACCGACCGATCCAGCTCGTGCCATCACTCAAACACATGCATGTACATACCCCACATGGAGCCATACCGGAGACGAGGGGAAAATTTTGAGACAGCAGGCAGGCAACATATTCCTGCACACGTGCAGTGCGAAACCCTGGAATCTACTCCAGCTAATTTTACTACGGCCTCTAGTACGTGCACGACACTACAGTCTACGAGCACGCAGCGAGTTATTCACTCTGTTCGTTGGTTGGTTTCTGAACTAATAAGTCTGACTAGTGCTGGTCTGTTGTGAGAGAAAATGTAATATTATAGCTGATAAACTCTGGCTGAAACCAACGAGCGAATAGACTGATTATTACTCGCGTGTGTCCATGTCACAGCCACCGTTCAATCTGCGACACCGAAACCTTGCCCTTGTTTAGTTCCTCTAAACTCCTGAAAAGTGCATTATGCAAAAAGAAGATTCTCCGTCACATCAAATTTGCGATACATGCATGGAGTACTAAATGTAGACGAAATTAAAAACTAATTGCACAGTTTGATTTAACTTTGCGAGACGAATCTTTTGAGCCTAATTAGTCAATGTTTGGACAATAATTCGTAAATACAAACGAAATACTACAGTAGGAAATCTTCACTATGCAAAGCGCAAACTTTGCCCAACTAAACACCGCCCTTGATTTGTTAGGTAGCCTTGGCGTACGTGGAGTTTCACTTGACGACCTGACATGCGCCAGCCGCCCGCCTCCAGCCACACGACCATGTCACGTTCGATTGGCTGATAAGCCATAGTTGAACGTACCGTTGACTGATTTATTATAAGAGAAAAATAATATTCATTGGCGGAAAAAAACCAAGCCAACAGGGCGCAGATCTCGAACGCATTCTGATCTGATCTCTCGCCATCGCCAACCTGATCCCTCTGGCTCAGCTGGCTCCCAGTCCCTGCACTCCCAGGCCCCAGCCAGAGTCTCCTGCACTGCCGATCTGCCGAGAAAACAAGCCACGATCCGCCGCCACCAGCCCAAAAACGCCCCAAAACCGAGCCGAAACACGGCCCTTTCGCTCGTTTTCCCCACTTTCCAGCCCTCATCCATCTCCCCGGCACCGCCCGCCGGGGGCTCGGGCGCTCGGCGTGCGCGCGACTAACCCAACCGACCCCGACGCCCGCACGCGTCCGCACGGCGCCGACCCCGCACGAAGCCAAGGCAAACCGAGCAAAAAAACGAGGTGAGATTGAGATTAGGAACTGAGAAAAAAACCCGCACCCGCGTCCGCGTGCTCTCTCCGCCCCCTCCCATCCGCCGCGCTCCCCTCCTCATCCACCGCCCGTCCCGCCGCCGCCGGCCCAAGGCCAGGCAGGCCGCCTTTCGCGCCGCGCCGCGTTCGTGCGTGCCCGTGGTGGTGGCGATGGCGTACCGGGCGGACGACGACTACGACTACCTCTTCAAGGTGGTGCTCATCGGGGACTCCGGCGTCGGCAAGTCGAACCTGCTCTCGCGCTTCACGCGCAACGAGTTCAGCCTCGAGTCCAAGTCCACCATCGGCGTCGAGTTCGCCACCCGCAGCATCCACGTCGACGACAAGGTCGTCAAGGCCCAGATCTGGGACACCGCCGGCCAGGAAAGGTACGTACAACCCCCCAGATCCAGCTGTGCCCCGCGAGCCTTATCGACCCCTTTCCTCGTATCTGATCTCCGATTGGTCCATTCGTTAGCGATTGCTATGCCTGCGTCGTATGGATCTCTGTAGCTTAGTTTGGCCGGTGACCCCTAATTGGCTGTTGCACATGACGCAAATGAACTGCTGCGACCACCATTGAAAGAAAATGGAAAGAATCTGCACTCATTCAATTCCACATCTTCCTTGATTGCTCTTGCACGTACCATTTTCAATGTATCACATTTCGAGCTATCAGAATATGCAGTTAGAAGATTGTGCAGGTGCAGGGCCAGGAGCTGATACAGGCAGCCCTGTTTTGCCAGATGTGAAGTTATAGACGTTGAAATTGTGGATAGAAATCATAACTCTAGCTCTGTGCTGAACTGTTTGATTGATGCACGGCGATGATTCCTGTGTTGGATATAGGATTGCCATTATTCATGTGGCTTTTGCCATCCAACTATTTTCTGCACTGCAGCTAACTTACCATTTGGTGGGTGCTTCTGCAGGTACCGTGCTATCACAAGTGCATATTACCGCGGAGCAGTTGGGGCGCTCGTTGTCTACGACGTCACACGGCACGTCACTTTCGAGAACGTGGAGAGGTGGATTAGGGAGCTCAAGGACCACACAGACGCTAACATCGTGATCATGCTTGTCGGCAACAAGGCAGATCTGCGCCACCTCAGGGCCATCCCGACCGAGGACGCCAAGTCCTTCGCCGAGAGAGAGAACGCTTTCTTCATGGAGACGTCGGCCCTGGAGGCGATGAACGTGGAGGACGCCTTCACCGAGGTGCTCACCCAGATCTACCGCGTCGTGAGCAAGAAGGCCCTCGACATCGGCGATGACCCTGCGGCGCCTCCCAAGGGCCAGACCATCAATGTTGGTGGCAAGGACGATGTGTCCGCGGTGAAGAAGTCTGCCTGCTGTTCGTCTTAGCTTTGGAAGGATAGAACATGTACTTGGGTGGTTGATACTTCCGCAGTAGAGGCCGCAGGACGTTATTGCAGTCATGTCCTCGACCTGTATTCATGTGTTACCAGGTATCTCGTTGATTTTTGCCATTTGATACATTAATTCATTCAGGACATCAGCCTGCTGGTATAGTTTTGGCATATGGAAGTGTGCGGCTATCATTTTTTTTTTCATATAGGCTTTCTCTACCTTGTTGCATTCATTTCTTGTATCTGTACGCTGTCGCTTCTCTTATCAACCTAGTTGCATTGCTTCAACAGGCTATTTGTTTTCCTAGACTGCTGCCATGTTGCAAATTGCAATTGCAATCCTATTGGTCACTAGGGTAACTCATTGGATTGTATCAATATGCATGTCAGTTAGCACGCCAAAGTGTGAAGTAATTAGATGTTCATGTCTGCCATAAAAAAACCCGATGCTGGTGCCATCAACAGAAGCAGCAGCAAAAGTGCGTGCCCTGTACGAACCGATGCTGGTGCCCGATGTAGCACGGCATGTACTGTACATACATAACTAAAACAGCCTTCGCTTCGCCACCAGCTGCCGTGGCTGACGCTGTTCAGACTTCGTCAACACCACGGAACGTATGTGTACTGCAACCGCAACTACCTGTAGAACTGAAGGGGAAAACCATAACCAAATCCTACTTCAGCAGCAAATTCCACACGATTTAGATAGGAAGATCCACCACTAAATCTCATGCAGCTCTAGCAAAATGCTCCAGAAGTGAGGACAATTTTCGGTTCTTTCAATTCCAAAATGTACATAACTTACGGTTTTCGGGTTTCTTTTTTGAAGAGTAAAAGATAAATACAATGTACAATGTAAAGGAAGGGGGCATCTACCAAGGCAATCATGGAGCTTTACACACCATGGTGCCATTTAACATCTAAAATATCCTACAAAATATCTGTACAGTTTTTCGAAGCTCAGTTTATGTCCACAGCAAAGGGGACGGCAAATAAAGGCAACCATGTCTATATACAAAATCGCGCTAATTTGCCACGCGGTAATAATGTTATTGGGGATGATCATCCATTCCTTCTATCTGATGACAAAGCTGTTGTCTTGCAGATGGGGCACAGGTTTTTCATCATCAACCATTGCTTTATGCAATTCACATGGTACTTGTGACCGCATTCAAGGGTTCCTATAAGTTCTTTAGCTTCATACTCCTCCTGCAAGGCATGGACCAAGTCATCCTTAAGGACAAGAAGCATATATCTGGCTATCGAGCAAATATCAAAGACGATGGTTTCACTGTTTTCAGTAAGCTAGTACTTCTAGTACCGGTGGGGTACAAATTATCTAAAACATGGTAATATGCAACAGCAGAATCTATCATATACTCCCTCCCTTCCAAATTATAAGACGTTTTGTCTTTTCGAGATTCATAGCTTTTGCTATGCCTTAGATATACACAATGTCTAGATGCATAGTAAAAGCAATGTATCTAGAAAAATCAAAATGTCTTATAATTTGGAATGGAGGGAGTAACTGATAGCGGGTTAATGATGTACTCCCTCAGTTTCAAATTATAAGTCGCTTTGATGCATAATAAAACCAATATATCTAGAAAAGCCAAAACGTCTTATAATTTGAAGTGGGGGAGTAACTGATAGGCGGGTTAATGATGTACTCCCTCCGTTACAAATTATAAGTCGCTTTGACTTTTTTGTTCATCCATTTTGCTATATATCTAGACATATTATTATATCTAGATGCATAGCAAAATGGATGTACTAAAAAAGTCAAAGCGACTTATAATTTGGAATGGATGGAGTGCAAATAACAGATTATAATTCAGTACTGAACATCTGAACATGGCAAGAGGTTGACCTGGCATATTATGCAAGCATCATTCTCCAAAGAAAGCTCAGAAAATTGATCAGAGATGCTAGCTGCTCCTGGAACATGAAAAGTGGACCTCAAGTTTTCTTGGATATAGCTTTCTGTCAAACCAGTATTGACATCACCTATCTGCTCTTGCAATGCTACAAGCTCCTGCAGAATAAGCAAAGAAAACGAATTTAATCAGATATATACACACTCAGAAAAGGTGCACAAAGAATTCACAAGCATTCAAATGAGATACATGCCTCATAAGTCATGTTATCCACATCTAAACGCATATCTCTATGTTCATCAATAACATGTCCTGCTTCATAAATCCTTGAATGATCCATCACTGTAGCGTTCTGCACAGATACATCAATTACTTGAGGTAGCTGCATGAAATAGGAAATGTTCACGGAGGGCAGATTCAGTCATGCAGACACTGCTGACAGGCTGTACTACTGAGTCAGTGATAACATTTGTCTCACATGCTTCTTTGTAGCTCAAAGCCAGCAGGTAGTTGGGCTATGAAATTCACATATCATGGCAATAAAACAAAATGGCTCGTACATCTTGGCAAGAAGAAAGAGATATATTCAGACAATAATGGATGCAGACCATGACTGCAGTGAAAAGTTGCATATTATAAGACAACTGCTACATGTCAGATATTTGTGCCAAATTGAAGTCAGGGAACATGAATTTCTAGAACTTGATGATCAATGCATATTATAAAGTATTTCAATAAAGAAGGGCTACAAGGCTTCCATGACTGTGAAGTGAATATTTGCATCTAAATTCCAACATAACTAGGAGTATAAATGTAGCGCAACCAGTTTTTTTATATCTATATAAAATATGAGTTGTGCTTCAAGAATGAGTATGAAACACTGACATCTCTGCATTATCAATGATGCACCCAAAATGGTAAATTCAAACTCTAATATAGGTTTTGCGTGATTACCAAGAAAGACTGCAGTGGACACATAAAAAATATTCAAGGAGACATATTTTTCAGCATCCAGTATTGTTATTAGTAGATACATGCAACTTTGCAAGAACTTTACAGGTAAAAATTTGGAAATATGAAGCCACCTGATATGGCAGAATTCTTAAAGCCCCATTGTTAGCTTGGTTTATCAGAGGTGGATGCATTGGATGCCCAAAAGTGTGCTCAGCATTGAATGGGAGAGCCAGCATTCTTGGATCTAAAGGAAGGCCTGCGGCAGAAGGATTTAAACCATGCACCACATTGTTACCGATGAACTGTTGATGGGGTACTTGTATTTGAGGTGCTTGCATACTATGCAAAGGATTCTGGCAGAAATGAGGTAGTGGCCCATGAATAGAAGAATGGCCAGCATGATAATCCTGAATATTTCCATTCGGCATGTCTGCGGTTCCTGATGAACAAGACAAGTTAAAGCAAGAGTTGCCAAGTACATCACTAAATCTCACACTCAAATATTTCCATTCAATGGCCAGACTCCATGATAGCAGAAATTTACTGCTAATCTTATTAGCAAGCTAATAAAAATAGTAATCTATTTTGTCAATCCAAATAAACTGAAAACTGTGAGATGTTCCTTAATTCATCATTCAGCAAAACATCAGATGAATATATCTTTATTCAGAAGGTCTACTAACCTGGAGGATTGACCATGGCATTACTATATCCCCACTGTGGCACTCCATGACTTGCAGCCTGTGGAACCCATGTATTGCACTGGCTTATGTGAGAAGCTGGATATAAATAGTTACCATGAGGTACCAACTCCGGGCAAGCAGCCACTGAACTGAAACTGTTTGAAGCATCTGCTGAAGATTCTTCTAAGAATGGCCACCCATTACTATTGTGGTATTCTGGTAGGTTTGAAGCGGCAGAACTGGGTAAACAATTTGATTGAGATGAAGCATTCCATGGTCCACGCACAGGATTCTGAGGCGCATGAACAGATGAACTTGAGCCAGCAAATCCATGAAGAAAATGATGGTTTCCAGCAACTACTGCATTTTTCCTTTTCATGAATCCAATAGCACTATCACCAAAATTGACACTGCTGCTACTCTCATCAATAGTTCCTGTGGAAACTTGATTATGTAAAGATGGTGGTAGCACATTGCCTAGTCCAAAGCTTTGAGTCTGAGGAATATATATGTTGACAGCTGCTGCTGACATGCTAGGGTTGTACATATTAGTTGGGAAGACAAATCTCGATGTAGCACTGGCATGTGGGTATGAATTATGAACATGCGGGCGCTCATGATTCCGCAGATCACATATACCAACATTAGCAGTATTTCCTGGAACTCCGACAGCAACTTGCACACCCAGGTTGGATGAATCACTTACAGTGCCTGCATAATAGGAACTTCCTGGTTGAACTTGGACATGTCCTTGCTCCCATTCAGGATTAACGGACTGATGTGTCCAGAGCATATTTCTATGTGACATGACGCCAATTTCTATTTCCTTAAGGAGAACTACTGCACGTTTGGTCAGCAAATATCCTTTATCATCACCTCTCCCTGCACGATTGACCAAACATGGTCAGCATTCAATCTAATATGGATAAGTAGAGATGTAAAATGCAAAGCATGTCTCGTTTAAGTAAATGATGATAGCAGACAAGATAAGTCCCAGTACATGCTGAAGCTTGCAAGTGGGAGCAAAATATTGACAAAAGAAACTTGCATGTGACTGGGCCTAGGTAGCAGAAGATATTGAATAGTCCATATATAAGAAAAAAGTTAAATGGTTTAACTCTTGCTGATATGCAGAGGCCTTGATAACTTGATCCACAACCTTACAGGTAACAAAAATGTTCATCAGTTATATGAAGAAGAGGACTGTGTTTACTAAAGGCACTAACACTTTGTGTCATTCAGCATTTTGCAAAATATATATAATCTGCGATTCAAGTTTCAGTACCATTGTCCCTACACTATGAGCCATTATATCTTGCACCACAAAAATGACTGATATTTTATTGTTTGTTTGTCAGAACAAGGCTGTCTCTTAATTTATGATTTGTATGCACATTTATTTGTCCATATATTTATGCAAGATAAATCCTTCGAAGCATCACATCATCAATCACAAAATTGCAACTAAAATTCCAGTAACAGTCATGCGCGCAAGACTGATCAGCAGCATCCAGACAGTAATTATTATAGCAAGATACTGTAGTAGTGTAGTAGCTACAACGGGTTTCCATATCAGATTAGCTCATAGCCTCATATGCATTATTCTGTATCGGGTTTCAGTTCGTTAGCTCTCCACAGTATAGCTGGTTCAAGTTGGAATGCTGCAGATGGAGATCTTAGCATAATCAGCCCTATAACAAGCTTACTTACTTGCAGTATGGTAATTGATGAGAAATTGTTGGCACCAGTGTGTGTGTGTGTGTGGGGCACTTATGACATAATACAACCAAGGTACAGCTATGCATTGTTGAGTTACTCTCACAGGTGACTGGGTGGGATTAATTTAACGATGCAACTTCCCGCCAAATAGGCGAATAACATTGAATATTGAGTGAAGTATTTAAATATCAACCAGGAAGGCAGGAATAGAAGACTCAGCAAAATAAGTTGTAAGGTTTATGTCACATGAAAATTTTGCATTAATCTAGGATTCTAGGCCTCTGCACTGAGCAAGGGTGGATCTACCAGGGTCCAGGGGTGCAGACAGGGTGCCTTAGCATTATTCCCACTGCCGCAATTTGGAATAACATTGGAGTCAGGAGCAGCAGAGGCTGTGAGAACTTATGCTGGGCAAAGATGCACCATAGTCTAAGCCTAAATGGAGTTTGGGCCATGTTCTGCCTAATGACCATGTGTGCGCAAGTGACAACCATGTGGTTGAGATTGAGCCATACTATAGCGGTGCACCAGTTTGTCCAGTTCTCTTACTCATCATAACCCTAGAGAGCCTCACAGTAGCTGTTGAGTTCTCGTGTTCCATCTATCCGTACAATTACACACACTTTCCTCTTTAAAAATATTTTTTGATCCAACTCTGGCATCGGTGCAACTTGCATTTAAATGGCAATATTAATATGACATGAATGCAGGATTCCAAATCCAGTGCTACTATGGTACAATGAGGCAAGATATAAGAATATAAAGCTTCAATCCAAACCCAACCAGCAAGCCGCAAATCTGAAACTCTAGATGCACCCAAGGTCTGGGTCACTTGGTAGAACGGTAACTACAGTGTACAACTAGTTGATAAGTGCCAACTAGTCACAACCTTGCAACATGCAATTGGGGTGATTTTCTAAAGCCTACTTCACAGTTACCTGGTGAACTAGTTTCTATTGTTTTCAAATCTTCCTGTAGTCAATAAAACGCTTCCATAGTTAAAGTCCTCTCTAGTGATGTTAATTACTAAGCTGCCTATGATGCAATGTATCTAGTTTGTGACGTGTAAATCCTACAATTACAATATGGACCACTGGATGTGAAATGCTTGATCTGAACAAAATCCCAAGCTTCAAACACATATTAAGAGAGTGCGCACTCCAGTACATAAGAACTTAAACAGTTGCTAAAGAGAAATTCATGCAGTTAGCGAAGGTAGCATGGGAAGAATGAAAATAAATCGGACAGAGAGACTCAGGCTTGCACTACATTGCAGGGGTAGAATGGGAAAAAGGAGAAAAAACTTAGCAATCAGAGTTTCAAGTAAGCAGGGTGTGTTCACTCATTGCTCTATGCACCTACAAACAAATGACATGACACAATGCAAAGGCCGACCTAAGTTTGGCCCATCATGGACGAAATTGCCAAAGGAGAGGGAGGTAGTGGAAAGAGGGTGGAAGAGTACTATAAAAGCAAAAAATAAATTATTTTGTGGTTTCCCTCGTGTTGTGTTGTGCGGACATCATAACCTCGCATCAACCATGTCCACCGCAAACTCAAGGATGAGTTGTTGGACTAAGGAGAGGAGTAATTATGGGCATAGGTCCAAACAGTGAAACGGCAAAATGTAAGCTGCAGAAAAAGTTATGACAACTCATAAACAATTACGACCATTGAGATCCCATGGTTGGGGATAAATTGATTGGTAACGCCAATAACTTGTCTTATCTAATAGATTTAGCTGTCGCTTTCCTTATTTAAGAAGATTAGAGGCTTTTATTATGTGAGATGGGCTTGACAAATTTAGCAATGTAGCACATTTATTTACTCGTCCGTTACCGAGTTTGCGACTTTCTCGGAGTTTGGCGTTTCTGTTCCTCTCTGCCCATCCGTGCCCTTGTTACAGAGCTTACATTGCAAAGTTAAGTTGTCAAGTCTCATAAATCTAAAGCAACGACAAAAGGATATATTAATGACACTAACTTCGACAAGATGCTATATGGATATATGATTGGAAGCACGACAACCCTACCAAAAACTCTTGGCGGCTAGTGTTGTAAGCTCAGCTGTGCTTGTGCAGCAATTTGCATTGTCCTCCAGTGCAATATAGCATGTAGGAAAACCCTTTCCCCTCTGTTGACCCTAAAAAGGCCCAACGAAAAACTACCAAGATCCGCAACGCTAGCAGCTGAAAAATTCCATGCCCAAGTAGCAAATAACTGAAAACACTTAGTTTTAAAAACCAAAACAAAGAACGTACTCTAACTAAATTCTTCAAACCAAACCGAAGTTCAGATATAAGAGTTTAAAGTCCAAATTATTCCCTGATCGTTAGAACCAAGTCTCATTGCTAATCAGAAATGAGCATGACAACGAACCGGTGCAGCTATCTCCTGTCCACACTCAACTAAGCGTCTCTCATTCCCAAGCAAAATTCTCCGCGCCTACCTAAAGCTTATGCTGACCGTGGTTAGTAGAGTCTCAACCTGTACAGCCATCCCAAATGAAAAAGGGCCATACTACGCCGCACAAATTTCAAACCATATACGTCCACAATCCACCGCAAGTCCAAGTCTGGCTGCTCCATCACCGGCAATGTTGACTCCAAGCTCCACAGTCCACATTCCGAATTCTGTGATGAGCTTCGCTGCACCAAAAATCGAGCGACGCACGCCGCTACAGCACAGAATCCTTTGTCGGAAAAAGAAAAAAAAACGCAAGAACGGGACAGCCAAAATCTCGTCATTCAGTAGCTTCCCGCGACCGGCGCGGTTTTGCAGCAGGAATGCCCCCCAGCCCCCAACCAAACGCGCCGGAGGGCGTTCGAACGAGACCCCTCACAGAAAGGTCCTCACAACTGGCCGAACGGCCAATCGCAGCCGAATCGCGGCGCTCGGGGACCCGATTCCTTCCCGGCCCACCGCGCGCGCGCAGCTGCGTAGGCACAGTCACACGGACCACGGGCGGGAGCACAGCGAGCTGACCCGCCGCCCAGACAATTCGACGAGGAAGGGGGGGAACGAGCCGCACGAGGATTCAGGAAGCATCACCTCAGCAGGACGGGTCCGCGATCGGCGCGGGAGCTGTCGGAATCCGCGCGGGTGAGGGGAGGGGACTGGGGAGACAAGCCTCGCGCTCGAGCGAGGCCGGTGGTGACGAGGACGAGGTGCGGGGGTTGGACGGAATCGGTTGGCGGAGGCGGTGGTATCCGGTGGGGGTTGGGGGATCGATGGGCGGAAGGGGCCGACGGTTAGGTGGGTTGCGTATTTATAGGCACGAGTCGCTTTTCGCTTTTCGCTTTTCGGGGACGGAACGGGGGTAGAGAGAAAAAATAGACCGAGGAGGTGTTGTCTCCTCGCGTTTTGAATGGTTTTTGGACAAAAAGGATGCGGTGATTCAGATCGCGTGCTCACGTTTTCCGTCTCGGCCGCTTTTGAATCGGGGCTCGGACAGCGCGGCGGCTATCTTTTTTTAGGCGCTGCTGGCTGTGCTTATCTTTTCGTCTCTACTATTTCTGCGTCAAAGCTCAAATCATATCCTCCTCCAGCTAATCTCTGTGTGGTGTGTGCTCATCGTGTCGTGCCACGTTTTGTTCCTAACCCGAGCTACGGTGGCACGGTGCTACACTTTTTGGCCAAGAAGAGTACGGAGTACGTCTCATTCTCGTGTGCTTGCAGAGCAGGAGTCGCGGTCTCGCGGATCCAAACGAGACGGTGTGAAAATCGTTTTGGCTTGCACGGCAGATCATGACTCCACCAGCTCGAATCCTCCCTGGCATAAGAAAGGGCCCGGTACAAGTACAAATACGCACAATTATTAGTTGAAACAACAAGGCTTACTGGCTGCGTTTTGCTGTCTCGTACGTACGAGTAGCATGTTATGTCGCATCCTCCACCTCACACAAAAAGGTATTCCCTGATGGCGACGAGCCCTGGATATGGACGCCGCCCACTCTTCTGTTCGCTCCTCTACAAGACTCTTCTTGCCCGTCCTCTGCAAGTGGCTCCTGTGCAAATACGCTTTACCACGCTGGCCGGTCGTTCCTTGTGTTCTGTCCCAGCCCCAGGCACACCCTGATCAGATAAAAAAAAAGTCCCAGGCACACCGCTTGGCGTGTCCGTCGCCAGCAGCCAGTGCCCACGTCAGATTATGGGGGAAGATAGAACATGAGATCGCTGCACCATTGCGTATGGGTATGGCCGGGCCACACATATCGTCTACGTCATGTCACTTTAGACCGTAGCGTGCCGCTCCGGCGAATGACGACCCCTGACCTCTCCTCTCGCTTCCGGATAAGCGCGACTGCGCGAGCGTCCGTCCTGTGTCTGTGTTGGGTCCTCGTACGTGCACCGGGGCCGGCACAGTCCGGCGCCGTGGCCACGCAACGCAACCGCACGGGGGACGCTCTCGTCGCCCCGACCCAACGGCCTCGTGCGGCACATGGTCTGCCCTGACGGTTTTCTTTGGTCACGCGGGCGGCTTCACCCGCCCCGCAGCCCGTCCGTTGAAGGGGGTGGGCGATCGGTCCGCGAAACCGCAGCGCGGTGTGTGTGGGCTCGGCGCCGGCGCCGGCGCCTGGTTTCGCCGCGTCCCCGCGGCTGCGAGCGCGAGGAGCCGACCACCGAGGATCAAGGTGGGCCAAGCGGGCTCCAGACCGCGTCGCCGTTCACGTGCTCGCTCTCGATTTGTTTGTGTTCACGTTGTGTTATGCCCTCCGTCACCGCCGCGGCTCTGCCGAGTGGCACGCACTGCCTGGCGCGAACTGCTCTTTTTTACTTGACGGTGCGTGATGGATCTGCTGAGATAGAGCAAAATGGAACATGAGAGTTTCTTTATTTTTCCCGGAAGGTTGAACATAACTTGGCGTTTGGATGGAGACCGGGACACGGACAGGGACAAGGATATCCCACCCCAAAAAGATAATATTGTATTCTAACTATCTATTCTTTATGCCTCATTTAATCTTTGCCGTTCATCCATTTCTCTGTTCCTGTCCCACTCCCATATCAAACGCAGTGTAAGAGTTTCAGAGTATAGACCATGGAGTGCTCGATTGAATTCCCACGAACCAGAAAAAGAACAAAAGGAGCCCGAGGGAGAATATCCCTCGAGCAGGATATTCTCGAGACAAAGATGCCATGTGATGAAATCTTCTTTCTCCTGTTCGCTTGTTGGTTTCAGTCAGAGCTTATCAGCCTGCAAACTAATGTTTTTCTCTCACAACAAATCAGCACCAGCCGGGCTTATTGGCCCAGAAACCAACCAGCGAACAGAGCCTCTGTACGTGGCTACGAGCCCAAGCGGATCTACAGTAAAAATCAATTTCGCGCAGGTGTCATCTGCCGGTCATGGCGTTCCACTCCGTCACGCCGGACGTCGTGGTGAACTGACGCGCCTGTTAGCGTTCGTACGATGATTAGGCAGAACAGCACCGGCACGCCCGACACTGTTCTTGATGTGAATCCCCATGTATGGCCCGTCATGGCCACGTGTTACATCGAGGCGTGCCAGCCTCTTTCCTAACATCAAAGTTTTGACCCAGGCCCATACGCTTAGACCTGGGAGTGGTTGGCGGCGGTATGGGTCCCCGTCGGACGAGACGGAACCCACGTCCTCGAGGTCGGCGAGATGGAGCCCGCGACCTTGGGCGAGACGAAAACCGCGTCCTTGGGTCGGGCAAGACGGAGCCCGCACCTAAGGGGTTGGGCGAGACGGAACCCGCGGCCTCGAGGTCGGGCAAGATGGAGCCCGCGGCCTCGAGGTCGGGCGAGACGTAGCCCGCGGCCTTGGCCGAGACGGAACCCGTGTCCTTGGGATCGGACGAGACGGAGCCCGCACCCAAGGGATCGGGCAAGACGGAACCCACACTCAAGGGGTCGGCGCGAGACCATTTAATACGTCTCGAGCCATCCGAGGAAGTCAATTTGGACGCTAACTTCCTTGCTTTGGGTATCCCTAATATCGATACCCGATAGTTATAGTTAAAAGTTTTGAACCTAGCAGTACAAAGTTTTTAATGTCATAGTTGAAAGTTTATAAATCCTGAGTGTAAAATTTTAAACCTAGCGGTACAAAATTTATAATGTCATAATTCAAAATTTTGTAACTAGAAGTATAAAGTTGGCAATGTCATAGTTTAAAGTTTATAATCCTGAGTGTAAAGCTTTGAATCTAGCAATGCAAAGTTTATAATGTGATAAGTTGAAAGTTTTGAACCTAGCAGTACAAAGTTGGTAATGCTATAGTTGAAAGTTTATAAATTCTGAGTGTAAAATTTTGAACCTAGCAGTATAAAATTTACGATGTGATAGTTCAAAGTTTTGAACCTAACAATATAAAATCATTTTTTCTGATTTGTCATCTTCAAACAAAATGAACGGCCCAGAATCTGACATATACGAATCAACATTGGCCTCGTTCGCTTCGCTGAAAAAATAAGCCGAAACATTGTTCCAGCTGATTTGTTGTGAGAGAAAAAAACACTGTTCCGGCTAAAAAAACAAGCTGAAAAATACGGATTATAAAAGAAGCCAACATGGCCATTTTCTATTTTCTATCAACAGAAATATAGCAATTTTTTTAAAGATATTTTAGCTTGTGAACTCTTAAAACATTTAAATTATCTTCTACCTTACTTAGAGCGGTTTTCAAATGGTTTTATTCTTTTCTACTTCCTCCATTCCAAATTACAAGACGTTAAAAAAAAATCCACCGCTGAGATGAAAATTTAAGCGAGTCGGACTACTGCGTCCAAAGTCAACGGCGCGTGAGTTTCGGTTTTATACTCGGGTCACGCACGTTCAGAAAAATCAAATGAAGTTTGTTTAAAGCGCGTATCTAATCTCACAGGATTGACACCGACAACATGCAGCAATATTGAAACAAGAAAAGGCTACCGTCATTGTCATTCATTCCATTCCATGTCATGGCAGGAGTCGCATTGCTAAGCTACAGTCCTAACAGGTTCACAACAGAACTAATGGAGATTACAGGTTCACAACAGATCTACTGAAGGAGGGCAACCCGAGTTGTTCACAAGGGCAACTCGAAACCAGGGGCTGCCATGAGCCCAAGACAAAAGAAGCAAACCTGCTGCATGCTATTGCACAAAAGAGGACATCTGAAACTAAGACAAACCTATGCCAAATGCCAGCAGCCCAGCACGTCTAGGAGCATTCAGAAATCAGAAGAGAATCCAGGAACAGCTTAACACATGACTGAAAGCCAGATGGAAAATCTAATGACAAACCGCAACAGACATTATCATAAGCTAATAGCACACCACAAAAGATTCAATACCAATTGTCAGCATAACATAATGGCAAATGATCCGACACAGTACAGATGGAAATAAATGGAGTTTACATGTCTGATTTTAACCATAAAACAAACTGAGGAATCCTGCACTTAAAAGGTTTACTTAGCCAGGCAGAATATCAGCCACACGAGCATACTTAGAATATAGCGGTGAAAGGCAAGCTAAGCAGCAAGTCCAGCACTCGTCTCACAACAGTTGCCACAGAGAGCTCACTGTTTTGCCTCGCGTTCACGGTTCCACTGCTCAATCTTGGCCCTTCGCTCCTCACTGCTTTCCCTGACTGGGCTCCTTGCACGCCTCGGGGGGCTACCATGCCTGCGCCTTCCTCCATCATCATACCTGTCATGCCTGCCGCCTCTGCCTGCTCCATCATCATACCTGTCATGCCTGCCGCCTCTGCCTGCTCCATCATCATACCTGTCATGCCTGCCGCCTCTGCCTGCTCCATCATCATACCTATCATGCCTGCTACCTCTTCCTCGTCCACCGCCGCCGCCGCCACGGTAATCATCACGGTCACGGTGGTGGTAGTCATCGCGATCACGATGGCCCCTCCTTTGTGGTGGGGGGCTTCGGCTTCGGCTTCTCCCATGGTACCTCCTGGAAGCAGAACGCCCATACAGCTTCCTCCTGAGATCCCTGCCAATTTGCTTCACATGCATGAAATTACAGTAGCCACCACGGTTGCAGCTGTTCTCCTCAAACTGCCTACAGGTTGCTTCACGGAAGTCGGTCACGGGAGAATACTCAACAATTATAGGGCGGCCAGAGTAAAAGCGCCCCTGAAGAGCATTGTATGCTGCGCCTGCCTGTTCTTCCTCCCTGAACTGGACATAGACATTCCCAATCATGTGGTCAGCAAGGTTATCACAAACATTCAGATTCTCAATCTCGCCAAACTTGCCCAACTCCTCATAAATGTCCTCATAGAAGTCCTCAAAATGCTCCTGCATCTTCTCAGGATCAATGGGTTGGCCTTGAGCATCAACTCCAGGGGTTATCATATCAGGGCGCTGATACATGTTAGCAAGCACAAGAGTTGGCGATATAGTTGGCCTGTTGTGCAGACGAGAGCAGCGATCCCCATGACGACAAGCCCCAATCTTGAAGTAAAAAGGGCAGTTGACCCTGTCCTTCTCAGTGCCGAAGATCGAAGCCAAGTGCTCCGCCATGCTTCAACTCGCAGACTGACAACCATCAAACATAAGCAATAATAGTATCAGAAACCATCTTCAATATAAGGTGAACTAGAGGGGGTATAAACTCATTGTCTGTTATCTAGAACCATGGGGATCAAGGAATACCTCAATAAGGTCCTCAGTGTGCAAGACTAAGTAGACAAAAACGAACACAAGCAGCTAAAACAAACCAGAGTTCACAGCATATGTATCTTATAGGATCATCACCAAGTAATATTCCTGTGAATTTACCCCCTGTACAGCCCACTGTGTAAATGGATAATTATACAGCTCAAGCTCTGGCAATAAAATCTTAATCCCAATCCCTTTTTAAGACCTAATCTGCACACTTACTCAAAAAAGTTAAATATTAGGAGAAGTGAACAGAAAGACCAAAATAACTGTCTGATCAGGCAAGTTCTTGCCTCTGGTAACTGATAAATTTTTGACCTATAATATATATCTGCAGGTTAATGCCTAAAGATCAACTAAATGTAAACAACACGGAAGTCTCTCTCCACTATAATGTTTAAGAGTGTTCGCTGCAGCTGCATGCAACTTCTAAACTGCCAATACTGTAGAAGAAGCCTGCTGCAGCTACAGCAGCTGCGGCTTCTAACTGCAGTGAACAGGCCCTTTAGTTTTCTCCCCTGCAACTGCATATAGTAAACCAAATAACACTGCAGAGAGAGATAGAGACAGCTGTTCGCCTGCCGCACAAGGGTATTCCTTCTGGTGTAGGCCTTGTATTATCCGCCCGACAAAATATTATTTGATTTTAACCTAAGCTGCACACCATTTTAGATTATTATTAATATCTGATGGAAACGAAACAAACAACCGAAATCGCAGTTAAAGCTACCACCGAGAAAAAGCAAAATCCATTAGCAGACTACTATATCTGTTAATATATCCAGTAATCTGGCAAAATATGTCACCAAATCACACGATTCCAGATGCTACCAACCTAAAGGAGTAAATCTCAACGAATATAAGCTTATATACTGATTCTAAAAGCTGATTCAATCGGCTAAAAGAGGAACTAAAATTCCTGCATATGCCAGGCGGACCCAGAAAAAGAGATGAGCGTACACATGTTCGCCCGATGATTTTGCAAGAAAATCGATGTTAGTAAGCATAATACTACATGTATACACCTGAAATCAGATCAGATCCGAACGCAAACAGCCAAAACAGCTTAGGTTAGGGTTTGGGTGCTCGGCTTCGCACAGCGGGAAGGGAAAAGAAGGGGTGCGCAAACCTGCTGGTTGCTCTTCGGCGAAGGGCCCGACGAAGACCTGAGCACCTGGCGTAGGGCGGCGGCGGCGGCGGTCGCCCAGTCGTCGCCACGAGAGAGAGAGAGAGAGCGCACGCCGGGTGAACGGGCTGTTTGGCTACGGACCCCTAGAAATTTGCCCCACCCGGACGTATATATACATAATATATGTCGCGTGGGCTGCCAATTCGTAACTGGGCCGCAAGTTTATTTTTGGGACAATACAAACGCCCCAAACTCCAGTCCTCTTAAAAAAAAGAACATACACACCAAATCAAACCCTCCACCAAGTGTACTCCTAGAGTCTGGTTAAACTTTGATCCTTAAACTCTAAAACTGGTTAAACCACCTCCTCAACTTTTAAAACCGTACCTGGTTATAGATGATTTTATCTTTTTCTTTTTTATTTATTTCGGTTAATTTTTTGAAAAATCATAGTAAATCATAAAAAATCATAACATAAAAAATCTATTTTTCTTGCACTCCACAAGAGTAGGTATACACAGTGAATATATATTATAATATGCTTTAGTACAAAGTTTTTACTGTAGCTTTAGATCTATACTTTTACGTAATTAATTCATAGCTGCAGTTTTTATAGTCCAATTGTGGTGAAATTTTTATTGTAGTCTAATTATTGTATGTTTTAACTGTAGTAAAAATTTCATACTCGTTTCTATTTTTACACAATTTTAACTATTTTAAAACTATTTAACAAGCATAAAACTAAATAAATCTATAACTCAGTTATACATCATCCAATGGGCATGAAATTTTTACTACAGTTAAATAATATAATAACTAGACCACCGTAAAAGTTTCACCATAATTAGACCACAGAAATTGCAGCTTTAAATTAATTAAAGAAAAAGCATAAATCTAAAGCTACAGAAAAAATTTTTATACTAAAGCATACCATAATATATATTCACTATATAGATCTACTCACGTGGAGTCTAAGAAAATTATATTTTTCATTTTATGATTTTTTATGATTTACTATGTTTTTTCAAAAAATCAACCAAAATAAATAAAAAAGAACAAGACAAAATCACCTATAACCAGATCTGGAAGATAAAATGAACGGTTTTAAAAGTTGAGAAAGATGATTTACCTAGTTCTGGAGTTTAGGGAGAAAAACTGGATTTTGAGGATAGTTGAGAGAGGTATAATGGACTTTTTTCTTATTAATTTAATAAGAAAAAGTTTATTTTGCCCCCCTCAACTGTCACGAAAGTTAGTTTTGCCTCTTCAACTCTAAAACCAAGAATAATTTCTCCCTCGTCTCTCAAAACCGATCACTGGACCTCCATGGCTTTCCCTCGGTGGTTTTTCTTTTTTTATCTTTTATGTTTATTTTGGCTAAATCTTTAAAAAATCATAGTAATTCATAGAAAATTCATAAAATAAAAATCCAATTATGTTGGACTCTACATGAGTAGATCTACACAGTGAACATATGATATGATATTCTTTAGAATAAATTTTTTGCTATAACTTTATATGTCGACAGAATATCATCGGTGGTCCTCCGATAGGTATCCCACGAAGATAGGCTGATCGTAGAGAGGCGTGTGATCAAGAACAAGAAGGCAACAGAGACACATGAGTTAGACAGGTTCAGGCCGTCAGTATGGCGTAATACCCTATCCCTGTGGTATATTGGTTTATATTGGTTATCGTATGATATTACGTGAGTTTGGAGGGGATCCCTGCCCGCCTTATATAGTCCGGGGTGCAGAGTTATAAGTCGGTTAGATCTGAGAGATAATCGAAAAGTAATAACAGATTGTAGAAATTATGGGATCATACATATCCTAACAGATCTCGTAGCATCTTCAAGATATCTTCTCGGTGTCGTGCGGGGGGCGCCAAGCAGAGTCGTGCCCCGCAAGGCTTCATCTTGTGGGCTAGACCACCCCTGGGGCATAGCCCATGTGGTCTGCCATGGGTATCCGGGGTCATACCCTCCACAGCTAGTCCCCGAGCGCCTTGTACCCGTTGTGCAACGCCGTCTTGAGCTTATCCGAGCATGTGCGAACAAAGCCGAGCAGTCAAACTAGCGGTTTATACTCGGTGATAATGTTGTTCTGAGGTCAATGTAGTTTCGAGGTCGGTGATAATGCTGTTCAGGAGACTGAATCTGTGAATGATATCTTCAAAGAGCTCGACTGCTTTCTTTGTAGTAGCCGAGACTAGCGGTTTATACTCGATCCACTTGGAGAACTTGTCAATGGCGACGTATACGTACCGGAAACCACCTACCGTTGGCTTGAAAGGCCCGATCATATCCAGTCCCCAGCAAGCGAAGGGCCAGAAAGTTATGATGGTCTACAGTTCTTGAGCCGGCACGTGTATTTGCTTGGCGAAAAATTAGCATCCTTCACAATGTCGGACGAGGTCTTCTACATCGGAGATGGCCGTGGGCCATTAAAAACCAGCTTGAAAAGCCTTGCCGACCAGGTTTCTTGAGGCCGCGTGGTTGTCGTAGGAACCAGAGTGAATTTCAAGAAGCAGCTTCACTCCCTCTTCTTGGGTGATGTATTTCTATAGTATCCCTTCATTGGTACTTTTCCTCATCAAGTTGCTGTCCACCAGCACGTAATGCTTGCTTCGACGAATTAGGCATTCGGTTTCGGTCTTGTCGACGGGTACTTCAGCGCTAGTGAGGTATTTGTTGAACTATTCCCTCCAATCAGCGGTCGACGAAGGTACTGTAAGTACCAGCTGCTCGGTGGGAGGATTTCCTGAACTTCTTTCTCTTCCTTAATGGATGGCGCCAAGAGATCTTGAACAAAGACCCCCGGCGGAATCGCGGCGCGAGAGGAACCTAACTTGGATAGGTGGTCGGCGAGCTGATTTTGATCACGTACCACGTGGTGATACTCGATACCGTAGAACTTCCCTTCAAGCTTTCTGATTTCGGTGCAGTATGCATCCATCTTCTCACTGGAGCAGGACCAGTCTTTGTTGAGCTGGTTGATGACCAGCGCGGAGTCCCCATATACCATGATGCGTTTAACGCCAAGCTCAACGGCTATACCTTGTCATGATCCTAGAAAGCATTGTTGTTGCCTCTAGGTGGCCGGCGGCCTCCAGCTCCGTCGTTGTTGTCGTCGTCCAGCTTTTTGTCCTGGAACTCCTTGGCCAAGCCGAGGCAGTCCTTCATCTTATGCTTGGCATTCTTGTGGAGAGGGCACGGACCATCGAGGATCTTCCTGTACTGCTCGTCATAGTTGCGCTTGGCACGAGGCTCATTAATGGTGGCGACGATGTGGTCTGGCCGACGGCGGTGATTATGACCAGACTTGGATCCTTCTGGCCGATCACGGCCGTTGTCCCGATGGTAACTGTGGTTGTTGTAGCGGTGGTCGTTGTAGCGTCGGTCGTCGGGGCGGTCGTCGCTGCGGCAAGTTGGGCGATGAGTGCCCGCATCCTTATTGAAGCGCACCTCGGCTTCCTCGGCGTCGGCGTACTGGTCGGCGGTCGTGATCATCTCGCCAATCCCTGTGGGTGGCTTGCGGTTGAACTTGGAGCGAAGCTCGCGGTGATGGAGTCCTCGGATGAAGGCGGTGATGACCTCAGCTTCCGTGATGTTGGGAATATAATTCCTCATCTCGGAAAAGCATCTGGTGTAGCTACGGAGGAGGTCGGACAGCTTCTGGTTGATGCGGTTCAGATCATGCTTGGTGCCCGACCGAGTGCACGTAGCCATATA